GGAGAGAGAGAGAGAGAGAGAGAGAGAGAGAGAGAGAGAGAGAGAGAGAGAGAAAGCACTTATAACTTATACGAAGGTGGGAAAATATTTTCAAGTTTTTGGTAAGAGAAAACAAACGACAGCCAGAGATTGCGATATTTAACCCACGTATCTGAATGGCCACATCTCTTCCAGCACAACAAATATGACCCCCCTCGGTGCGACTCATGTTATCTTGAAGTGGTCACGTCCACCGCTGTGAGGAGACTATTACACTACACAGACAGTCGTTGTCTCAGGCCGACCCCCACGTTGACAATGGGCTTTCTCTCTGCGAGCAGGATAAATACCCATTTCCCGACGAATCGAATTTCGGGGGTACTCATTTGTAATAAACCGGTTGGAAATGAAGCGTATGATCGAGATGAGGGATATGTATACGAAAACGACTAAACAATTATTGTTATGCCGAAGAGAACTTTTATCCAACTAAAGCAAGACAAAGGAAACTATTCCAATCGACATAAGCCCCATTGCTTCCTTGTTAATAAATCAGGTTTGTGCCTGGCGCACTCATTGACGGCTAAATATCCGTTTCTCAACACCAATACCACCCCTAAATAGTGCATACAGTTGTAATGTTGTGCATAATATGTGCATCAATTGATCCATAATCATCCCGTGACTCCGAGTGATACACTATCGACATATCTCCAGTGTGTCTGAGGTCAGTGACCCTCCGTCGGCACCAAAGAAAAGGAACCATTGGTCACGTTCCTGTTGCATATTGTACATGGGTACATCTCATCAGGTCCAGGGTTGATTTCGACGTCACCGGCCATTAGTAACAGGAGACTCAGATCAGCCGGTTCGGCTGAGCCTCCGGACAAAAACTCGGTCGCCTCCGTTCCTGTCTGAATCCAGGGGTTGATTGGCGTTCGGCCGGAGCTGTACCTGTTCCGGGGTCTGCAGCACCGCGTAGAGGTCCCAATAATGACTGCAGAATGCCCGCGGGGGGAAGCACATCGAGGCCCACTTATGGAGAACAACGCGAGGCTGGGCCCGGATGTACTCTGGACGAGGCCACAAGAGGATGCCGCTTACCTGTCTGCCTGCGGCAGACTGCCGCCCTCCTGACGGAGGCCAGCCAGAAGAAGAAGAAAGGAACCATTCAAGGAAAACGCCCCCAACTATTTCATGTTACGATTTAAGTCAAATCTTAATTAAAAGTCGCTCTTTGAAACTGCCCAGAGAGCAATTAATTCTTTATAAAACTGATCACTTATCCGGATCATGTGTTCGTGAACCTGTGATTCCTTTTGGAAAAATTACTCGACTAACCGGATTTTTTACTCCGATTCTGCCCACCTCTTCTGTCTAATATGCATTCCTCAAACCCCTGAGAGGTCTGATAACCTACCACCTGCATTGTTCAACACGTGAACACAAATGATTGCATCTTGCATTCAGCTCAGACAGGATAAATTTGCGAGAGTTGACTGGATCGTTAACTGTTGTCCAAAGACGGTACGTTAATCAAGCTGGTAAGGACCGGATGATTTGCATATTATATATATATATATATAGGCCTACATGTATTATACATATATTATAGCCAACTGTTTCAAATACCATATCTGTATTGACCTTAGCTTTTAGGTCCCCGGTGTTTGGGGCAATCGTCGTCCTTCTCCGATGGGATAAGGTAAATTTCGAGGAAGTGAAAATCAATATTACATGTATCTTGATTCCAACCTGGTGAAACAGTTGCCTTTTCATCGAATGGATTCCGAGGGGTTATTTTCATGAACATAATTATTATAGGCTACTTTTTTTTTAATAGGCTTAGTTTAACCGGCTTTATGTCAAAATCGAAGAAGGTGTTTTATGTGCTGTGTATCGTTTTCAAACTAATTCAGGTTAGATTTTGGAGCCCTACTAAACACAAATAGGTCATTGGGAACATGAAAGCAGTCAGGGGGATAACAGGGAGGAGGCTCAAAGGTTAATTTCATGCAAATCCTAAGTGTACATTTAGTTAATGTGTGATATTTCGCTTTAGGGGCGATCGCGACTCCTGCTGGTGTACAAGGAGTCCATATAGGCCTATTCCTATTACCCCTCAACCTATACGTTCTTACTATCTAGCTCTGGGCCCATTATGAAGGTGGCGTAGGATATGAGGCCGATTGATCCTTCTCTGGTGTCTCGTGATAAAATAGAAATCTAATTTTGTGTTGTGCGGGTTTCTTTGGGAATCTTTTTTGTGTGTTTTTGGTTTGGTTTGTTTGGCTTTTTTTTTTCTTTTTTTTTTTGCTGTTTTGTTTTTGTTTGGGTTTTTGGAAGGGGTTTTTTGTTTGTTTGTTTGTGTGGGTTTTTTATTTTGTTTGGTTTGTGTGCTAGAATCTAGTTTGCTTCACGAAATCCCTGTTTGTCTGTCCGTCTGTCTTTTAAGTCTTCGGTATGTCCACTGCTACTTGATTTTTCTATCACTGCAATTCAGTTTGACTTCATTCTTCAAAAGCCATATCGATAATCCTTCGCCTATCACAGTTAAAGTCAAGAGAAGTTAAGCATGGCTTGTAGTTAGCCCTACGTCTTTTTACACTGTGTAGCAGACTATCTGATCTTTCATACTCAGCACTCAAATTACGCTCACAGCCATAGAACATTGATACTAATATAATAATTCTATTTCTATCTCTCTCCCTCTCTCTCTCTCTCTCTCTCTCTCTCTCTCTCTCTCTCTCTCTCTCTCTCGCTCTCTCTCAGAATAGTTTTAGGAAGTTATTTTTCCGATGGAAAAACACACCAACGTCTAGACTTAGGCCTAACATGCAGGACTTCTGTTATATCAACTAACGCAGAATCTCGAAAAGTCTTTCTCATATGGAACACATTATTAAATCACATAATCGAAAGTATTTTAGGAAACCATTTTGTGCTATATAGATTAACCAGCAAGATATAAATTTTTACAAAACAACGACGATTTCATCCAAAAATATTGCCCAACGTCAGTTAGTGAAAAAAACCCTGATAAAAGTAATCAGCTGTCCTTTAGAGGAGTTGCTCCCTGATAAAATAATCACTTTAGTTGGAACCTGCTTACTTCCGTTTCCAATTTTAATGCATTATGAAGTTCACTGGAGAGAGAGGAGAGAGAGAGAGAGAGAGAGAGAGAGAGAGAGAGAGAGAGATGGTGCAGTAACGTGTGTTGCTTCACGCTTGAAAGTAGAAATTCAAAATTAAAGTCAAATCACAAAATAGGGTTTGTGTTCAAAGTTTTGTTTGAGAGAATGTTTAGATTGTAAATTTTGTAATTTGCTGTTGGTGGGTTTATTTGTCTTTTATTTCCTCTTTTATGTGGAAAGTGATTCCTGATAAGGCCGTATGGGGGGGGGGGGGGGTAGGCTAATGGAAGCTTTTTAGCAAGTATCCACGTTTCTCTGCCCAGACGTATCCAAGATAGCCCGCGTTAGACCTCACTGGGAGAAGCGAAGTAGCCTCTCTCCTAAATGGTGTAAATGTTATTGAATAAGGCGTAAAACAAGAACAAAATATTCAAAGTACAGAAGGTCAATTAGGGTGTTGGCTGTTATGTCTTCGTTCAGTGGGGTGTGTACCACGAACTGTCTAGAAAGGATGACGAGGGATATCTCGCCACAGCCCACGCAGTCACGCAAACGATAACCATGAATACCTGGCGGCTGCTGACTGTTGACAGTATGACAGGTCATGATGATAAAATATGGCCCATATAATATTGTCCAACGACGGTGATGGTGAATTTGAATTTTTTGTTGTTGTTGTAAATAGGCCTTCTTTGTCAGTATTGTGTTGTAATCTTATATGATTCGGAAGGAACAGGCTCATTTGTGTAAACACGGTTTCAGTAAGAAACAGAATGAAAGTAGAGCATTTTCTACATCCCACTCCTCCTCCTTCTCCTCCTCCTCCTCCTCC